AAGAGAATATCTCGAGATAAGTGTTCTCACTATCCTATCTGAGAACCGGAAGCCCTTTCGATAAATCTCCTCTGTAATCTAATAGGAGTCATGGGTAGTAGCTGCCATCCAGGGAATACCCTCTGCTGAGCTGGGACTGAAGGGGAAGACCTACTCTGATTAAAGAACAGGGGAGAAGTTAGCCAACACTGTCGGCTTGTAAAATATTGATAACATCTTTACATTAAACAAATGACTATCGCTAGTCATTCAGGATTACTTTGGATTTGTTGACATATTAAAGCAATACTGATAGCCTCTGTCAGTTGCATACTGATAGTAAATCTCTGTTACAGCATACGAAGCCAAAAAGTGAAACAAAGTTGAAAAATGTGGCATTTGTAATCAATTCCTGAGGCAGGGCTGAGATGGTGACCTATTTTTAGATGTCAATTGAAAATGCATGTATGATATCTACCGACACAGAAGATGGTGTATGCAACATAACTCATAAAAGTCCTTTTCTAGAATGCCATAACAACAAAATAATTGATTAATGAAGACTTAGTTTGAACAGAAATGTAAACATTACAGTTTATTGTAAATACTAAAATAACTACAGATCATGGCTTTGAATAGGACCTTTACCAATCTCTTGTTCAAGTATTTATTGTATTATTGTTTTCATCGTCCTCCCACAATCAGACACATTGAACCCCATTGTTGCACACAGTAGCCAAAGCTCACAAAGTGTGTTCCTTTGGCCCTTCATTGTAGAAAAACACTATTATATGATGCTTTGTTACTATAAATGTGTGCACTGTAGAGTATTTGGAGTCAATTCCACATACACTGTCCTGCTGCTGTGTGCGCATATATCTGCAGTAGTTAATAGTCCATAATACATGAAGTAGTTAATCATTAACATTTGCTGAAAACAGCAGTGCCTATCCATGATAGAAAATGTGTTGCCTTTTTTTTAAATTATCTTATATATTTGTGACCAATTTTTTTGATGTACGGCTTAAATGTGTAAAAATATCAGAAGCTACTGAAACATGGACAATTTTATTTGACTCAAGTTGTCTGAGGAGCAGGGTCGAAAAAATCAAAAAGGCACGAGCTGCATGAGACGAGGGGAAAACTGTCCTGGGGTTTGGCCTGGTAATTAGTAAGGTCTAAGGTAAATGCATTTAAAATCCATAACAAGGTTAACCTTTCACCCCATCCAGAGAATTGTATTAATTAATGTTGCCTTTATGTTTGAAAATAATCTGAAACATTTTTGTTCTATTGTGCCTTCCACGTCAGCATGTATATAATATACAAATTAAACTTCAAGAGAATCTTGTTTGAGACAGCTAAAGAAATATTTATTCTCGATAGTAAAACTGTGAGCATGGGCATCTTTTTGAAAACACTTCCTTGTTGTTGGGGTTAGGGAAAATCCAACATCTGGGATTGGAAAGTCAAGTTGAAGAAAAGCATTGCTCATATGTTGTCATCAAACCTGAACAAAAACAACTAACTTGTTGTAAAACTACAAAAAAGAGGCCCTTAATTATCCTACTTCCTCACTGTTCTCCAGACCTATTTTCTGTGACAACAATCTCAAACTCTAAACTGGAGGGGAACAGTTCCCCCCCCCCCCCGGTGACCCGAGCTCCCAGGGGTTGTTGGTGTTAAGTAAACTTTGTCAGCCGAGCAACGATCTCCAGCAGAGAGCTGTCTCTGTGCTCATCGGGAGACCTTCTCCATGACCCCCACCTCTCTGCCTTGGCATTCCTCTGCCACACCACCTCCCTGACCCACCTTGTCTCCCTCTCCCCCTCCCTCCCCCGTCACCCCCGCCATCCGTCCGTCGCCTCGGGTCCTGCTCTCTGTCCCAGCAGCCCGTGCGGCCGGCTGGTGTCTCCTCCGTTGGAGACAGCCTATCAGGGGCCTCACGTCATCTGTCTCTAAGACCTGACTGACATGCCGACCTCAGAGATTACCAGCTACTATCAGAAAAAGAGAAGGGGGGGAGGGGGGTTGTGTGTGCTCCTTAAGTGGATGCTCCTTTCTCTCACCATAACACTGTTTGGGAACAGGAACCTGCTTTAGGCCTCTGAAACTCTGATGTGGCATTTTATCTGTCTGGGAGCTCCTCTGTTGATTTGCTACAAGGTCTACGGGGAGAGCGTGCCAGACAGCGACAGATATCACCTATCATGGCCAGTGTAGACGCAGAGAGGAGAACAACTTCCAGCTTCTTGGGCTTTGCTGTAAACATGTAGTGAGTTTCTGCTCTCCATGTAATAGCAGCACGGAAAATGTGGCCGTCAGCTATCAAGGTCCAGATGCTGCGTTCCCAGGCTGCACGCTGAACCCTTTAACCCGAATATTAGCAGGGTGGGTTTTATTCTGTGTGAAAATATAGGTTGAAAATATAATTAAAAAATCAATATTAGTTTCTTTTTTAGTCAGACACAAAGCCAAAAAGAAGTTAATCATTACAAATGAAACTGAAACAGCATACCAGCACCTCTGAATCTCGCTTAGAAAACACATTATATCAGGTTTTTTTAATGTACAAATAACTATTTGTGTTACAGGGCCTTATTGTCCGGATTGATTTCCACACATTACTCCTATGCTAACTAACTGGCTATAGCTTCATACAAATATCAAAGGTATTGATATCCCTGTCTTACTCTAAGCAAGAAAGTGAATAAGTGTATTTCCCAAAAGGTCAAACTACTCTCTCTACTTTTGCTTTCCAGCCATTATCCAGGTACAACCTTCAAACTGTAAAAACATGACTTGATAACATCTTGCTTGCCACAGGAGGCCCGTTATATAATCTAGTTGATCTTTTTCTACATTGCTGCTATAGCACAAGCTTCTGGGCTTCAGTAACAAACAAAAAACCTTCCTTTCTGCCAGGTGTTGTGAAGCTGGGTAACTCTCAAGCTCTCGTCATTGCTCTCTGTCTAGAACATGGAGCCCTGGGATATTTGTGTATCATGTATTGATTTGGAGGTACAACCCTTGGCTGTAAAACAAAGATAAAGAAGTTAGCCATTAACTATTTTCTTTCCAGGGGTCACTCTGAGCTTGTTTCACATCGCTGGAACCCACCTGGAAAAAAGAAAAGAAAAAAGACACCAAAATGCCTGGCTGTGTGATGGACTCTGGAATATTGATTTTTCTCTCGCAACAAAAAAAGGCTTTGCAGTCAGTATTTCCCTCTGCGCTCAGATAGGGCTGCTACATTCCTGTTTTCTCCCTCCAAGGTTACTGCCTGCTCAGCGGAGGCGAGCACCTGTCAGATGTACGCTTGTTTTGTTGTACAACGTGTCTTTGTAGCATTAGCTGTCTCCATAGGACCCCCCTTATTTTTCAGAAATAAATTGTAGGAAACACAAAAGATTGCTCAGGGGGATTCAGTTAACTCTGGCTTGGGGAATTTCCTTGTTGTCTCTCTTGGAGTTCACAAGGCTTAAACACAGTTGAACTCTCTTCTCACATGTGGCTTAAATAGTGATCCCAAAGCTAACCTTAGTTAGAAATCCTCACCTGGATTTCTAACAGCAGTGTCGTCAACACAGCCTTGTTTGCTTGGTTAAATGTGATGAGGTTTGCACTTGTTGATTAAGTATGTCTACCCCATTGTTCTACACAGCTGCAAACTCGTGAAATTAAGCACATCTAAAGAGAGCTCTAGTGCTACATTATTTGAATAATTTACTTGTTGATCTGGTGTAAGGTTTTAAAGAAATACATCTTAATTATGAGCATACTAATAGTTATTTACAAGGTATGCTTTTAGTGATCTATTTAATCTCGACTTATTTATGCGCTTTAAACCATTTTACGTGACTGGAAATTACTGCTGTGTTAGTGTTTGTAATCTTCTCCATAAAATGAATAGGTTTCAGCATTTTTAAGCCCGTCAGGAAATCTTTTCAATCTCAGCATCAAAAGCACTTGACAGTTTACTGCCCAGGCAAAGGTTGCACCTCTACCGTTTTATAGAATTATTAAGTAAGCAATTATGATAACCCACTGTTTTAAAGATAATAGGATGATAAGGTTCTGCCAAACTCACACTGTAGTTTGCCCTTACACTGCTCTTCCTGATGAGGAAATCAATATATTTTGCACTTAGGCCACTTGGTCCTCTTGACTTGCAGAGTGTTTATTTTACTTGTTGAGCACTAAAAGTTCCAGCTGATCCACACTAAATAAGAATTAGAATCTGCAAATGTGTCTCCTATCTGCACATTGTAATGACCCTGCATGGCTAGTGGCGTTTTATCAAAGCTCATAAACCTTGAATGACTATATATTGATAAAGACTGTTTAAAGTGTCATTGGAACGATAACATTTGCACTGTAAATGTGGCTCGCAGACTCCAGCCTGCAATCGGGCTGGATGATAAGGACGGCACTGAGTGGGGCTTCAAGCAACAGGTCAAAAGCCACACAAGATGTCGTAAGCCAAGTCTTACTTTGTCATTAGGTGAAGATATTTAAATCAACTTAGGATCAAAACCTTTGGCCTATATAAGAAATTAACTGTGATAACTCCAGGAAATCAATTAAAGTTGACGCAATTTCTCCTTAAACAAAGGACTAGCAATCATTTGTGTTATGTAAGTAAGGAATACTGAATGTTCAAAACAACCCTGTTGTTATAATGCTATGTTCAATTGTTTTGTATAATACAAACATTGAATTAGAAATACGTTTTAAATATACATTTTATTACAAAAATATGTATGTGCTTCTTATTTGTATTCATTGTATAAATATTACACCCACATATGCAGGACTTTAGGGAGTGTTGTTTGTGTTAACGTTCTCCCTCTGCATGCACACATAACAATTACCCTGAGAGAGAGATGGACGAGTGGTTTGACACTTTGCCCTGATCAATATCAATAAAGCAATCAGCATGCGAGGGGCCTACATGTTGTGAGGAGGGATCTGTGGGAGAGGATTACTGAGTTTATGGCTTAACTGTGGAGGTGGGGCTGCTGCTGCTTAAGGTACACTAACCCACCCTTACAAACTCACAAACACATGTGACCATGTCACGTTTGGGGACATCGAGTGACTTAAACTAATCCCCTTAAAGTTTGCGAAAAGTTATTTATGTCCTAAATTGACACATTTCCCCAATTCAATCCCCATGAAGACTAAAACAGTGTCCCAAAATGTGAGAACAACAAATCTTCGGGCCCTTCCCTTCTTCTCTGGTACTCAGAGAGTGCAGACAGCCAGATTGCACTTTGCTCAGCTAGACAATAAACTGAGACAATAAATTCAACCAGACTTCTGAACTGCATGACATGAGGGAGTAAGAGAGGGAGAGGACCTTCAGACAGCCAGCGATCAATTCCTTCCAACATGGAAGGAAAGCCCAAGCGGACAAAATAGAAAGAAGTATGTCTCCCCTTTTCTTTATCTGTGGGGTCTGACTGAATCAGGGGGGAGATTGATTTCTGCAGGTATATTTGTTTTGAAAAAGAAAAACACTGATATTGAGAATTTGATTTAGGAAATGTATCTCTAATAACATGTTTAGTCCAAGTTATATATCATATAGGCCTATGTATTTACACTGCTGTATTTCCTGTTTCCAGCCAAGGTGAGGATGATCAACTCTTCAAACTGAGCTTACTGCTCTGAAACATAATGTCTAGATGAATGATGGCGTATATAACTAGCGGTCAGACAAAAATAGAATGTGTCTAGCGTGATTTATTGTAAATTTAGTTGATTTGTCCTCTGCCTCAAACATATAAGTGCATCTATGACAGGAGAGACCTCCAATATTTAGTCGTTGGGAGTACTGCCACCTGGTGATGTGCTCTGAAACCTGCATGTCAAGCCTCTGTTATCAGAGCTTCATTTAACAGTAAATATGAAGTGAATATATTCATTTTTGTCAGGTCATTACTTCAGAACCAGCATCAAGGGCAAAGCCTGAGGGGAGACGCAGACTTCCACCCCCGTCCCCCCTGCGGCATGCTGGGTCCACCGGCAGATGGATGTCACTGACCCTTCTCAGTGATCACAGCAGAGACTTGAAGCAGGGTCACAGTCATTTTCCTCATCGTGGTTGCCCGCTCTCCTCTCCAGGGGTCCAATTCATCTCTATCTGCTGCTCAGTGAAGCCTGCAGTACCGAGCCACCATCACTCACTCTCTGCAGGGCAGCCGGTGGATTAGCTGCCCCCCCGGTGGTGGAGTAACAACCCCTGCAGTCCAGTCAGCAAACACTGCAGTCCTCCAGCAGCAAGAGCGTCAGGCGTGGCGGTCAGGGACCCTCCCCAGGACCAGGCCGGGGGAGGGGGGGGGGGGGGTGAGATAGCAGCGTCTCCAGCACCCTGCCCGTCAGTCGGCGTGCGGGGGGGTAGGTCAGTCTGCAGGCAGGCACCATGATGGACGAGCAGCCGGGGCCTGACATTCATGAATGGTTTCTATGATTCTGACTGGGAGTGTCACAATGAAACATATGAAATGGCATATATTATTAAGTTAATAATGCACATGTGATAATATCAGGCTTGTTGACCAGCACCAAAAATTATTTATGTTACTTTCCTTTCTCACTTATTCTGCCTATCCTGATGGCCCACTCACCAATAATTGTAATGATGGTGTAATAAAGAGATAAAAGCAAAGATACATATGACTTCTTCTTTTCTAAAGATATCGCCAAAATATAGTTGACGTAAATTCTGCAATAATGGAGGTGAAAATCAGATTTTGTGACCGAACTAATTCTGACGTATATCATACGAGTAACACAGGAATTAATATGCTGCTTACCTGTCTTGATGAGTGGCATCAATCAAGGATTTCCAACATGTTGGTGCCTGACTGCAGGACTTTCTTCCATTCAGCCAGGATAGCATTTTTGACTTTTGATTTATAAAAAAAGAAAACACATTGATAATAAAAACACTCCTAAATTGCGACCATAGATTAGGTATTAGCCGAGCTTCTGCAGGGTAACTAACACATCGTTATTTCGTACCAAGCCAAACATCTATTAACACAGGCGTTCGCCAAGCATTATGTAGTTCCTAATCTTAAGAACAGAAAAGGGGTTAAATTGACAGAAATGTGTTATTTGACTGAATTTGTCTGATATAGTCTTAATTTATTGTGTAACTTGAATAATTGCATAAAAGACTGAATAGCATAATTTAAATGTAGTTAGTTTGGAACTGAAATAAAATAAAATAATAAATAATTAAGAAATGTGAGTATGAACCATCCATCCATCTTCTCCCCGCTTATCCGTGGTCGGGTCGCCGAACCAAACAATAGTATTTAGAAAGAACTTAATTGATATACCGGTAGTTATGTAATGTAATGTTTTGCAGATAGATAATCTTCTCTTTTAAGAACAATGTTTTTGTATGTATGGTCTCTGAGAATAATAAAGTCTATAAGTGTAATAATAAAAGCCAGATGAATATTTTGACATAATTTAGTCAAACAAACTGGGTCTGAGACAAGAGTGACAAGATTACTTTAATGTTCATTTCTGGATAAAAAAAGGTTTGCATATTTCGTATGTGTAGTTTTAACCATAATTTAATCATGATGATAATTGGTATTGTTATAACTTATCGGGTCCTTGTGAATCCTTAAAAAAAGAAAATGGTATAATGCCGGTTGGCACTTGCTCCTCTTGCCCTTTGGTCTATCGTTTAGTTTTGCCTTGCCGAGTGCACCTGGTTTTGTGTTGTCTCACTTTTTGCTAACTGTGACAGTACGAACAGACCACTATCACAGTTTGTCAAGGTGGGAAAACACAGACACAGAAAGCAAAACAAGACCAGACAGAAGAATAAAGATAACAATTAAGAAAAGAATAATCCCTGAAATAATCAGAATAATACATTATTCTACTGTAATGCAGGTCTCTTTCCTGCAGTGGTATGAATTTTAAAAAGGACCATGTTGCAGAATTTTGGATGATGATTAAAAAGAGGGCTAAATCCATAAAATCAGAAAATACATACATGTCTGTGTGTATCTGTGCCTGTGTGCATGTATCAATGGAATGGAATCATTAGCGGAACAGTCATAACCTGGAAATTCTAGCAGTCCAGAACCCCGGACTACAGGGAGGAGCATTCCATCAGCCACTTTGGTCACATTTGACAACCAGCCTTTCAAAGAGAAGACAGAAAAACAGACATAGCAGTAAAAACATTCAGTTCCAGCACGAAACAAATATGGAATTGATTGATTTCAACTCAACTGAGGAGGACCCTCCTATTAATTTCTTCCTGAGTTCCCTTGAGGAACAAATCCGGGTTGAACTGCATGACAGCAAGGCAAGGCTCACCCCGAGTAAATCTGAGGGCAGAGTCCACCTGGAAATACAAGAGGACATACTGGCAAACCTTCTCGATCGTCTCCAAGAGCGTAGAGAGGATGACAAATGCAGCCCTAAGCAAGAAGGCATGCAGAAAGAGATATGTAGCCTACAGGCGCATTTCACTGAAAGTGTCAGTGAGGTGGAGTGTCTCAAAAGCCAGCTGATAAAGATCCGCCCAATGTTGAGGAAAGCACACGAAGATCTCGTGCAGCAGACCGCAACAAACACAGTCCAGCAGATGGCATTGGAGCGCATGAAGGCAGAAAAAGACGCCCTTCAAAGTGAGCTCCGTGCTATAAGACCAATGCTGGGTGTGGCAAAAACGCACATGGAGTTGGAGTTGGAGAGCTATCTCGAATTGGAGAGAGGCGAGACCAGGAAGATCACAACAGCCCTGAAAAAGGCGGAAGATCTCCTGGCGACTGAGCGCCTTCAATTCAAGCAAGAGATCCTCCAGGATGTCAAGCATCAAACCTCGACAAACAAAGAACAGCAGATGGCTTTGGAGCGCATGAAGGCAGAAAACCAGGCCCTTCAAAGTGAGCTCTGTGTTTTACGACCAATGCTCTGTGTGGCAAAAACGAACGTGGAGTTGGAGAGCCATCTCGAATTGGAGAGAGGCGAGACCAGGAAGATCACAACAGCCCTGAAAAAGGCGGAAGATCTCCTGGCGACTGAGCGCCTTCAATTCAAGCAAGAGATCCTCCAGGATGTCAAGCATCAAACCTCGACAAACAAAGAACAGCAGATGGCTTTGGAGCGCATGAAGGCAGAAAACCAGGCCCTTCAAAGTGAGCTCTGTGTTTTACGACCAATGCTCTGTGTGGCAAAAACGAACGTGGAGTTGGAGAGCCATCTCGAATTGGAGAGAGGCGAGACCAGGAAGATCACAACAGCCCTGAAAAAGGCGGAAGATCTCCTGGCGACTGAGCGCCTTCAATTCCAGCGAAAGATCACTGACCTCCAGGATCTCAAGCATCAAACCTCCCTAAACAAAGACAAGCAACTCACATTGGAGCGCATGAAGGTAGACAAAGAGGCCTTTAAAAGTGAGCTCCATGCTGTAAAACGTATGCTGGATTTGTCAAAAACCAACCTGGAGTTGGAGTTTGAGAGCCATCTCAAATTTGAGAGAGCAGAGACCAGGAAGACCACAGCAGCCCTGAAAAAGGCGGAAGATATCCTGCAGACTGAGCGCCTCCGATTCCAGCGAGAGATCACTGACCTCCAGGAGACAGAGAAATCGAAAACGACCTGTCTCGCTCAACTGGAAGCACAAACTAGTACGCTCATGGGCGCTCTAAATGAGGCTCAGCAGGAGCTGAAGATCAGGACTCTCCAGTGGCAGGAGGAGAACATTGTTCTCACTGCAAAGCTGGAGGTATCCCATGTCATCCATCTTGCCCAGCTAGAGATGCATGCATCGGAAAAAAATACCTTTGTGTCTTTGCTTCAGGAAAAAGCAGAAGAACATCTTGAATGGGATCATGTCCTTGAACAGCTGATGGAGGAGTTTGGGAAAACAAAGACTTCCTACGAGACTCAGCTCGAGGAGCAGCAGCAGGCAAATAAAAAGCTTGTGGACAATCTGAGCGAGGCTGTGCAGAAGATGGAGCGTAATTGCATCCACTTGGAGGAGGACAGGTTGACCGTCCTGCGGGACAAAGAAAGGCTGAAATATAATCAGCAGATGGGAGAAGGAGGAGTGGCAGGAAACAGAGAGCTACTTAAAGTCTCAGATTGAGTGCCAAACCCTCAAAAAGAAGGAGAAGAAGAAGTGGTTCAAGTGGCAAGGGAACAGGCCAACCCTCCGTCAGGACTCAACAAACATGTCGCACAACCTGCGAAAGAAAGAGCAGAAGTGGAAGAGCTATAAGTCGACCCTCCTTCAGGCCTCACTGAGGCTTGAAAGGAATCTGCAGGAGCGGGAGCAAGTGTGGCAAGAGGAGAAATCCACCCTGCTTCAAAGCACAGACTGGCTGAAAAACCATCTGCAGGCGAAAGAGCAAGAGTGGCAGAAAGCAGAATCCTCCTTGAAGTCCCAGCTGACGGACCTTCAGAGTCTGAACTCCAAGAAGAAGAAGGAGAAGACCCGGTTCAAGGGCTTCTTCTAAAACCCTGCTCCGAGTGTTTGCGCATGGGTCTGTAAGGCCACAGCAACACCTTAAGCTTTAATAAAACTGCTAAAAGCATGTTAGGTTTATCTGTCGGTTGTTGTTAAACATACTTTTTTTTTTTCAAGAGCTTTTTTTAAAATTATAAATCAGGGTAAAAGCATTGAACTGAACAAAAGTAGACAACTTTTCAAGATTTTAAATTGGTCCAAATGTAAGGATTTCTGTCAAGAAACACTCATTTAAAACACTTAGCTTCTTCCAGGCCAAGAAAGGCCCTTCAAAATAAATACAAACTGATGTTTTTTTTTAATAAAACAAAACTATAGATTAAAGGTGGGGTAGGTCATTTTGGAGAAACCAGCTCGAGTGCGATAGAATTAGAAAATACACAGCCGGAACAAATCTGCCACTTCCTTACAGAGCCCCTCCTCCAACACACACGAACGCGCACATGACCAATGAGGGCACGAGATAAGGTACCACGGCTTCCACAGGTGACATTTTTTTACGGATTTTCTGTCAAAGCACTGAAGATATTCATTGCTATCGGGACGTTAAGAGCATTCCATGGAATATAACAAAAAGTGTATCTCGAGCCTGTTTCTCAAACTTACCTACCCCACCTTTAAGTGTTAAGTAGTGAGTAAGTATGTTATATGTACATAGATTTAGTTATTAAACAAAAACATGGACATTTTTAAAGCACACATAATTCACAAATTGGTCAACATTAGCAATCTTAAATCAAACAAACCAAAAACACTATGATATCATTGGATGCTGTAGTAATATTTGTCGTTTAAAATGAAAAACCGCTGTAGGAGAAAACATGTTAAAGCGACTGCCGTCCTGTCCACATTTGTTTTTGGTCACAAAGCAGCCAGCAGCGGCTGCGATTCACGTCACTGTCTATCACTGTAACAGGTAAACCCATTGTTCTAAAGACAGATACTTGACTTTAAAATGACACCATAGACATGACACCAGACCACAGCCATCGTCTTTGCCTCATGCCAAGTCGCAGAGATCCGAGAAGAAATAAAAAGGTGTCAGAGTCTCCCCTGCAGCCATTGACGGGGCGAGAGGGTGACAGCATGATGGATGTCTTGTTATGAGCTTCTGCAAACTGCTGCTGTATGTGAGCCGGCCCAAAGATGTCCAGGTTATGAATG